AACTCAGAGTCATCGTAGTGAAGCAGGTTAGAATATAAATCGCAATTGGCAGTTCCATGAATACTCATAGGATTAGCTAAGTTAAGAGTCGTGTTGCTAGGGGAAATAGATTCAACCACTTTGTAATCATGTGAAATATGTTTACCGTTGCCGGCAGGAAAGCCGGCGGAATTACAAAAAAAGTTTTCTCATTGCTATTGGATATAACATCTGATAAGGGCATACTGTACATATTGGGAGACGGACCAAGAAGGCTATCAGGTCTATGGTTGTGACCAAGTGGCCAATTACAATTCGGATAATTATTTATACCTGACGTATGGGTAACGTGTTTAAGACGTTTATTTCCAAGGTTTGTGGTTGATTTCGGCTTCTTCATAAGTTGGAGAAGATTGTGTACTGTTAAACATACTTGCGATGGTTTGAGAGGTTCGAATATATCAACGTTAAGTGCGTGGTCAGTTATATGAATGTTATGATTAGTTTTCCTGTTATCCGTTGCACAGTTACTGTAACTGGGTGTTGCACTAACAGGGGTTTGGATTGTGTTATCCCATTCTTCATCAGCACAACTACTTCGGGTTGAATCTAAGTCAACATTTTTAAGAGGATGGACACCATCTACATCGGGATTACTTTCTTCTGTGTTTTGAACTTTATGAGATTCAGAATAGTTTTTCGGTGGCGGCAAAGTTGTTAAGCCAGACGTCCTCTTAGAATCGGATTTAACTTTACAACCATTAGGATTATGATGCGTTTGAGAGTTTGACGCTGATGGTCTGTAGTTATTTCTTCCTGCTTTTCGCTGGCATGGTGTTTTATCCGGAAGAGTCTTATTATCCTTGAAAATCTGTTTTTGTCTCAATGAATTGGAGGAATTTAAAAATTCACTGGCGTCTACAGATGAGTTGAATTTAAACAAGATCGGTGAGTGCATACCAGGATGACTTCTTTTTAATCTTGTGCATACACATGGTACGTGTGTCATATTGCTGGCTCTAAGCAGACTGGATTTGATATTTTTAAGGGCATGTGTATCCGGTATATTAAACATAATTGCATTGCTAGATCGTCTTATTCTTTCATATACCTCTGATGCAACACGATCTAGGAAAATATTTATGTCATTCATTTGATCTGGAGTCTCTGTGAGGTTGGGGTTGATGAGATATTTAAGCGGATTGAGAATGTTCATGTTTACTTGCAACTTTTTTATAGCATCCGTGTGGTTGCAGTTGCGATTATCATCACTGTTTACCATCAGATTTTTCAACATGTCTGGAATGGAGACAACTCGTAAAAGCTTGTCTGCTTCCGGAAAAACGGAGTGGCTCGTCTAGTTGAAACTGTTGGAAATCGTGTCAGTAGTGGTGTTAAATTGTGTCGTTTTCCTACGTTTGGCTGAACGCCTAGGAGCAGGGGTCTTCATTTTCTTTTGTGGCATGATAAGAAAGTGACGTATAGCAAGTGGATTGAACAGAATGTTGGAAATAGGGGTGAAAAAACCAATTCCGAGGCTCAAGTTAGTCTAAAAATCAAAATCTATGTTTTAACTGATGGTGAATGTATCGTGAGGATTAGTGGTGTTAAAAACAAAAGATGACAATGGCAGGAAGATAGTGGTGGAGATGAAGTATTTATGTCAGTAACTGTGTGGAGGCAAAATAGAATATAAAGGAGCAAGTTGTATAAATATTAACATATATATGACACGAAAGATAGCCTTATATCGTAAAGTAATTTAGAAATGTCGATAATTAGTATCAAACAATCAAAGTGAGTACGGTATGTGATACATATATAAACCGAAAGTCCGTATTAGAAAAATTGGGAGGTGCAGAGATAAGTAGTTTGAAAGATTATTACCGTCTAAGATTATTATGTTGCTTCTTGAACAAATATATGAAACAGCTTTCTGGAAAAAAACACTGCCAAAAAAAACTATGACAGACTCACCGAACTGGACAGGTAATTTCGGAAATGAAATAATTTATAGTATCCAAATACGATTTAAATGATAGTTCATAAAATAGTGAATACAGTCCTTTAACATACACAGTTATATATATTTCTTGATATTAGGTAGAGGTTTGAATAGATCCTGTAGATACATAAAGTACGTGGGTTAAGGCATTCAAATACGATATAACCATATATTCCTTAAGAAATAGAATACAGATATGGAATGCAAATCTTCGTCAAATATGGTTATATATGGTTTCAAAGTGGCAAAGTATAGTTTGATCGTATAGTCAGATCGAATATATGTAATTATATGATTATGATCATAAATACCGTAAGTTAAACTCAGAACTTATCATATGGCATGAAATTCACAGTTTATATGTTAATAGTTAAGAATAGAGTTAACTTCCATAATTCCAAGAAAAAATAATTCATCCAGCTCTGTGAGAATCCTAGAAAAATAAAAGTGAAAACCTCGGCCTGAAAGTAACGTCCAATCCGTAGCGCGCGTGGAGATTAAGTGTCGAAACTCTCCAGCATGGGCACACTATGCGTGTTAGTTTATGGGTTTTCGCGCACATCCAGCATGACCTCGCTCACCTCACCGTTTGGACTGCGGCAGGCAGAACCAATCAGGAGCTCTTGTTCTTTGCAGTACAACTGGCAACTAACTGATTCAAAGTCCTACATTCATGGGATAGGTTACCGGTAACAGAAAATGAAACTGCATTCCCAATGAATAAAGATACTACTCCTACCTTGCGCTTCTGAATTCCGTCAGCTCTTATGAATGTAAACTCTCAAAATCAAGTTCTCTGACGTCTACAGACTACGTCAGTCAAGTTTCGGTGTCTGCAATTACATGCTGCTTGGTAAAGTCTGTAGATAACTAAGGTAAATGATCTGTGTCGAATGGTTGGGGGCCTACTCAAGTTAGGCGAGAACGGTGTGAACATCTAACCGACGTCGAAGTCACAACTCACGGTAATGCCTAAAGTGAATTACCCTTTCGTCGTATACAGATACTGTGACTGTTTCGATGACTGAGCAAAACAAACGACGTTACTACAGAAATATATAAGTAGGAATAAGTACAAGAAACAGAGTAATATCACTACCAACACTAGCAACACAAATGCCAGTAGGTTGCGTGCGATCAATTCATACTCGGTTGTTGTCCTTGACCTCGACGAGGATTGGTGAACTGTTCGACTTTCAGTGATCAGATTCTCGGGTGGTTCGGTTAGGGTCCAGTGGCATTTCATTGGTACTACAAGTTTACCTGTACAAATAGCTCTGATCGCTTGTAGAGCAAGCTGGGAAAATTCCTGTTACAGATCAGAGGACCAGTCAGAAAATTTACAAATCTGAGGTGCTACTCTACAACAACTAACCCTGGTTTTTGTTCTTTTTCAGCTTCTCGCCTTTTTATATGTTCGGCAAGAGGTACGTATTTAAGGACAAAAATGTCTTAACTTTGAGTTTATGTTCATTCTGTGATATTAAGTCCCAGTCTATAAGCCCTAGATGAAGCGTCTCCAGAAATATTCCGAGGTATTAGTTGAATTAGTCATCATTTTTTCAACTCATTTTTACGATCAAAACGAGTTCTGGGTTCTGACCTTTCAATCTCCTTGACCTCATAAAAAAATTGGCCTGCCACGATGGCCCATCTTCGATTTCTCAGCCACTGTTTGGCATACTGCCGTTACTTTGGAAACAATAAGTCGTTCTTTGTTCTTGATTTATAAACATTATTCAACACTCACTGGAGTAGCAAACACAGTCACGTTACACACTGAGATCCTAGATCATAATGGCAGAGTTGGGAATTCAGGCACCTGTTAAAGATGCCACAGGTATTCGGAGTTTGACAACGCTTTAACCAGTAACACCTAATATGAATCGTACCCACCAAGTGAAATCAAAGGACAGAAGCGAGAAGATTCGAAGATATATTTGATGGGCTATCAATATATCGAGGATCGCCTGATCTAATCTGGCTAGCGATCACAGGGGTTGTTGAACACGGCGTTCCCACTCGTGATCTGGTGCGGATGCATGACCGAGCGCCTTCAGCTAGGTGAGTCAATTGAAACTAATATGGTCAGCATCCAATGTCGAAGACTTACAGAGCTATTTAGTTTGGGGATTTGTTTACCACTACAGTCGAATACTAACAAAACTACTAATTTTGAGTATTTCTTTACCTCTACAAATTGCCTGTGACTAAGTAATATCTCCTAGACAGATTCATATGGTTTTTCTGGAATATCCTGAACCATCAGCAAATTATAAGCTTCTTTGACAATTTATGCCAGAAAGTAGGCTGCAAATTCACCATCTCCAATATTTTTTATTGTCATATACCAGATTTCGAACCTCATTATGTAGTCTTCAAGCCATCCCCATGTAGATTACCAACGTAGATGATCTGTGTCGAAAATGATCGGAGGCCTACTCGAGTTAGACGTGAATGGTGTGACAAACTAGCTAACATCGAAGTCACACCTCGTGGTCAGCACCTTACGTGGACTAACCTATTGACATATCAAGGTGCCATAGATGCTTTGAAGACTGTACAACACAGAGGACGTAGTTACAGAAATATATTAGTTAAAGTAGATACAAGCGAAAGTGAGACCACTGCCGCATGGGTCAGTTCATGGCATACGATTAACTGATGCGCATTGGTTGTCCCTGACCTTGACGAGGATCGATGATTCGCTCGATATCCAATGACACAACTGCCGGATGATTTGGCTGGGGCTTAGTGACATTTGGTTGGACCTACACCCACTTTAATTGGTATTCAACTGTCCACATGTACAGATGCATGTATATACCACGTGAATGTATGTCTCGGCTTCATGCAATTGTAAGTACGATGGGGCATCAAGAGGTCAAATCACACCAAGTTTATACATTTTCGGGCAGGTCTCAAAATTATCGCAACCGGTAAATCGTCGCGATAACACCATATTATTGGTGATTCATCCTATATCATTACGATGGCATCACTTTTGCTACTAGAGGGATGGACGTTATCAGACATAGTGTGGTGGAACTCAAATCAAACGTAAAACCATCTTAATTTTACCGCTACTGAAAAACTCTACGAATTATCGAGGGGATGCACCAATCGTTTTATGACGGTATGACCTTCAAGTACTCACTACCCTCCATCAATGGGCGGTACTATTAGATTGTTACCCTAATCATAATCGGCAATTCCTAAGCGTCCGAAGTCCTGCCGTCTAAATAAACCTATTAACTCCGTAACTATACACATGTAGATGGGATCATTATGGATAAAAAATGTTTTTGGTGTGCATTTAAGCGAGGAAGAGCTCCGAAACATTCCACATTTAAAGATTGAACTGCTAACGCATATCGCTCTCAGAACAGTTCAAACTTCATGTCTTTTCGGAGCTATCGTATGTGCCCCGGTAATTACCTTGCTGTCAGGTTTGTTTCTGCTAGTTTAGAATTCAGTTTTAGAACCCAAAACTTTAAGGTGTTTAACCAGAAGATCATTCAAATTCGCCACTTATGGATTCTTACCCGGAATCACCATAGCCCCAATACTGATGTATGCTCGAATGAAAGATCAACCGGACGAAGCATTTTACGACAGGTGCTATCGACTACGGAGCAACAAAAGCCAGGTACAGCTAGTATGCTAGTGTAGATCGTGTCCTTCGAATAGCTAACTTTATTCGTCTAAATTCCACTATCGAGTAGTCATTCATTTCTTTATGGGTTCATGATCATGCCAATTCAGTAGCTTTTGGTCGGTCAATCTAGCCAAACATACCCAATATCCCTATTTTGGGAAAGTCGCAATAGAAAACTGGGGAAATGACACAAAAACTTCAAATTTTCCCAAAGTCTGGGGAAAACCCTCAAATTTACCCAAAATAGGGAAATTGGGTAACCCAACATACTCAAATTAGTATACCAAATTCGTTTCAAGCAGTGCATTACATATTAGAATGACTATAAAAATACATATTTCGGGTCATAAAGCCCTTACTTACTTAAGACTCAGCTTAAACATGCTACCAGTTAAGAAACTTGCCTACTTCAATATTGAATTAGAGATTTCCGCAAATACGGTAAACAACTAATCTCTTCCGTTAGCAATTTACAAAATTTTTGAAAACCACTCGTGAAGTTGTGAAAATATAGGATGTACAAACAAATATGTAAATGAAGCGTTTACCAGCTGAGTATTTTCCACTAGTATTTATAGGAAATAAATCCAAATGAGTTTTTTTATAACAATGGAAGTTAAATAAAGATCACTAACATATTTTGTCCCGAAGTTTATACACGACTTCTCAATAAGATGGGATCGATCCAAACGAAAGAAATTCGATATCTAAAGTCGTACTTACAACTGTAGTGGTGGCTGTAAGGTGTTTCTCACGAAAAACTAGTGTCTCATTACAACAAATGTAAGGGTTCAATTGATGACATACTCCACCCCTTCGGAATTCCAACACTGGTTGTGAGATTCGGAGAATAAGACTTATTATTACGCCAGCAAGCACATAGTGGTTATTTTAAACCTCTAGCTTTCCAGTCGCGCTCCCGGACCAATAATGCTGGAAACTTAATACTTCCCTCCCAGGTTTCCAGAATCAAAGCATGCTAACACAGTCAACACTAGAAAACCATATTTGGGAGTTAGATTTTTTCGTAAATGCAGTTGTCAGACATTTAATGGATAGTAGATACAATGCCAATCAGTGAATACCTTTAAAGCATTCAGAATAACTGACGAATATCGGACGTCGACTTTATCCCATTTCGCTGAGACTGGTCGAATGCTTCCAACCTGACCTATTTGTACAGAAATAAAGGGTGACAAATCTATGTTATAAGAGATATAGTTGTAGCTTAGTACTTTTATCTCCTTTGTAGGCCTACTTATATTCACACACTGATTTGACTTTGCGTCTCGCGATGTAATCACTTGCGGTGGCCATTATCATAATGTGGTCGCGTACTCTAATAATGACTAGTAACCATCCACTACTTTTCAAGACTAGTGTTTTTGCTTCATTTCAAAATATAAAAGAAGCATATCATTTTCAAACATCTAGTGCTATATTTTGGGGAAACTCTGGAAGAGGTGGAAACATTCACGTATCTGAGCAGCATCATAGATGAAGTTGGAGGATCTGATACCGACGTAAAGGCGAGATTCGGTAAATCAAGGACAGCATTCCTACAGTTGAAGAACATATGGGACTCGAAACAACTGTCAACCAATATCAAAGTCAGAATCTTCAATACGAACGTCGACAGTTCTACTGTACAGAGCTGAAACCTGAAGAACTAGCACAACCATCATCAAAAAGGTACAAGTATTTATAAACAGTTGTCTACGCAAGTTACTCAATATGTGTTGACCGGATACCATCAGTAACAGCCTACTATGAGAGAGAACAAACCAGCTTCCAGTTGAGGGAGAATTTAGGAAAAGACTCTGGAAGTGGATAGGACACACATTAAGGAAGTCATCAAACTGCATCATGAAGCAAGCACTAACTTGAACTCCTGAAGAGAAACGGAAAAGAGGGAGGCCAAAGAACATACTGCGCCGAGACATGAATAGTATGAATAGCAATTGGAAAAGATTGTCCAGGACACAGTTGGGTGGAGAATGCGGGGTAACAGGCGTAAGTAAACGCCGTATTTGTCCTTTTTCTCTGATCCTAATTCAGTCCCATTCCGAACACCCATCTCAACTTCCCCTATCAAAGTATATCAGAATTTTTTTATCACATGACTCGGTGTTTCCTTAGGCTGTTTGGAGTTCATGAGTAGCCTCAACATAGGATGGATTAGTTCCATTCTACAAATCTCGTTCTTTATTTGTTCAGATTTACAGAGTGGACAAACTTTATAAGGAAAATACTTGCTAAAATAGGAAAGTCTCTACAGTTTAGAGATATGATTCCTAACTCGTTAATTGCACAGCAAATTGTTTATAGGTAAAATGCCATTGTAATTAACACTTCAAGTGAATGTTTTTTGTTGGATTATCAGTGAGTAGGACTTAAATAACATTCGAAATTGAATTTTTAGTTTTACCAGAAAAGAACTGACTATGTTTCTTGTATCCCTCACTTCAAGAACAGGGGTTGTCTTATAACATATTTTCTGGGCATCCATATGAATAATAATATATATAGTTTTGTGATGTCCCAATTCGTAGAAAATTGCATTAATGACGTTCCGTGACCTTATGTAAGTCACTTCTTCAGGACAAATAATATTCGAAATGTCATTAATACAATTTCCTACTAACTGGGATATCACAAAAATATACTTATTTCTAACTTAAAACACAATGCTCAATTTATTTGGAACTATCAAGTCCAATCTTGACACTGATACCTACAAATCCATATAATTACTTAGCGGTGCGTGTAATTTCTTTGGTTTTATTATTTTTTTCAATGAAGCTTCGTGTAGATCGTTTCAGTTATATCGGTTTGGGATGCGGCGGGATAGCAGGTTTCGCCAACGCAGCTGGACCAATACAAACAGCAATAATAGGAATGATGATTGGGACTGTAGCAGCTGTTTGCTGTAATAAAATTGAAAATAGCATTTCTACACAGAAATAGATATTAGATTTTCTGCTCAACCTCTGTTCATTTATTTCCGTAATAAATATCTTTTCCAATAATTAACTAGTTTGTGGTAGGAGAATGTTTTTACTATTTGTTATTTAGCTATGGAAAAGTCGTAAATATTTTACCTTCTTTAGTGAAGTGTATGTTACATAACTATTTTGACAATCTAGTACTGCATCATTTATTAGTGTCGATAGTTGAACAGTTCGTAGATCTAAAGGACTTTAACTGTGGTAATAAGGATGATAGTTCTCACCTTTCTTCGTATACTAAGGCTTGTATCATCTCAGTCTGTGCCACTTTTCGGGCCGTTAATGTGACTATAATTATACCCCTAATGTTCATAATCCGGTATCACGATTATGAATTTGTCCCGGATGATTGATATGAATACGATTCACCCTTCAATACAATTACTTTCCAATCCTTCGTATTTCAGACACTTTCGAGTCAGGCTGTGTAAAATCAGGAATTGGTTAGGAATGTTTAGGGTATACTGCACTTCAAACACCAAAGATTGATAGGGTAAACAGACCCACATAGCCTACCATTAGAAGCATAAGTATGTATATTTCGGAGTCCATAAATCTTTTGTTATATACTACAAGCATGCAAATTAGTTTCACCGAAAGGTATATGATTCATTTGACAAAATATAAGCACCAAACGAACAATTCACGTCTAATGTGACATTAGTCTTAGATATGGCCAACCAGCATGGGAGCTCTTCTTATTCTTATAAAGCAATTAATTTACTACTAATTGGTGTGCATCGTTCCTTAATCTAAGAAACTCAATTTTGACCTCATCTGAACTATAATATAGTTCAAAAAACCATCTTGCTCACCACAAAGACCATTCCATCAATTTTGTAATCCTTAAACCACCCAGCGGCAGATTTCCGCAAATGAACTTGATTGAATATGTTATCAGAGTTGTGGCTTGAAAATTGTATTTTCATAGTACCAAGTCGACTTATACTAAGTACTCTCGTGAAACTATTTCTCATAATTTAACAATAATCCACTTCCATACCTTGATGTTCTAAGCAAGATTACGATCGTCTGAGCTGAAGTAAATCAACAGCCATACTCATAAAATAAGAATTTATATTATAAATGGCATATTATGTTCGATCTGTTCACCAATTGGCAGATAGCAATAAATATTCAAAATTATCTGTCAAGCATTTACCAAAAGTTGATCATAAAAGGAAAATAAAGCAAAGTGGGTCCCATTCAAAAATAACTGTAAAGTGGAAAATAATTGAGAAAATATTTTCATATTCGCCTTCACTTCCATTTGTACTAAAAGGGAAATTGTTTCCAAAAATCAATTTTTACAAGAAAGATGCATCTTATCAAAAAGAATACGATTTCTATAAGAAAAGTCAAAAGAAATATTTCAACTTCGTTGGAAAGACTTTGATGTTCCAAATGTCCATGATTCAATACTTGGCAAGCCGTTAGGGTGCGTGAAGTTATCTGTACTTAAGACTGAGTCTTTAGGCGATAGCTTTGTTTGTGGGCAGTTGTTAATACTTGCAGACTGTAAAATTAATGGGGAGTTTTCAGTCGGTAGATTCGAAGAGGGTATAGTCTGTAAGAAGTCGTTATTAGTATCACAAGAAAATAAAGTGATCTGTTCAAGTTCGTCAAGTGACGTTCCTGACTTGCATGTTTCAATATCATTAAAACTGAGTGCTGTATCGACATTTTCGTCTTCATACTTTGACTTGAGGTTCTCCACGAATAGGGACGTATTTATATGACGACTGGATAACACACCGAGAAATTTCTCATCAATACCATATAAATCAGTAGTAGCAGGCTTCTTTTCATCACTAATATCTTGTTTAGAATTTAACACCTGACTGTCCTTTCTAACATATTTTGTACTTAGTCTTTCTCTTGGATAACTTATATTATGGTTACAGGTGCTCGGCAAGTTGTTATATTGAGATTCAATATTTCCTAGTTTGATTTCCGACAAAGGATTAGAATTTACTTTATCATGATTAAATCCAATTTTAGAGGAAGTCGGAGGTAAGTATGATGTAGTGCTGTCAGTTGTTTGTGTAATGAATGGCTGAAAACTTAAATTATTTATATTAGTATCCAGCAGCATGCCATTTAACATTGAGGAGTTTGTTTTAATTGGGATTACTGTAGACTGCCTAATAAAAGTCGCTTTGGGAGGTTCACACAGGAAAGTACGATATATCATTGGTTGTTCATTTACAAGTTGTTGAACAGTTGGTGACTGTATATTCAAAATTCGAATTTCCTTGATTTGATTTCCCTGGTTTAGTGACGATGGTGATATCAGGGATTCAGTTATTCCGTCAGTAGTTTGACATGGTATAATTTTATGCAATTGATAAGTTACATGTTCGATGTCCCCACTATCAGTAACTAATAATGTCATTGTTTCGTCGACTTCTTTATTTTCCTTAGAAATAAAGTTTTCATTTATGGCAGGTGATATGAACACTCTTTTGTCATATGGATTGTTAACACGTGTTGCATGGGAATAATTATAATCTACTTTTACTGGTTGGTATAATTCCATGTTCAATTTATTATTTACCTGTGGATTTGGTTGTAAGTAATTTCTGCAGCAATTGATAGAGTTAACAACAGATGTTCGGTTTTGTTCAATTATCATTGGCGTTTGGTTTTGAGCATGATTTTCATCAGAATTTTGATTGTTCAAGCGAGTGGAAATATTTTGATCAACGGGAAATGCATTATTCTCATGGTTCATTTTACAATTATTGTTGTTATTAGGCGTAATCGATTTCGATGTAATTTGTACGACGATTTCTGACTTGGGAATACATTCATCAGCTTCAATTTTGTTGTCATCGCTATTTACATTACGTGCACGTTTTTTAGGTTTATACTTATAGTCAGGAAATTCTATGGCATGTAACTGTTGCAAGCGAAAAGCTTCATCTATGTATTTACCACGCATTTTCAAATCTAGTTTTCTCCATAGTTGTCCCACTCGTTGACTTATGTGTACATTAGGTGCATCGGGGAACCAGTGCAGTATGATTCTTCGAAGGTATTGGGCGAAAATCTGTAGTGATTCATGAAAAAGGAAAATATTCGTAAAAATTCGCGAGTGAAATTTCGAAAAGATATACATAATGAGATACACCAGTAACTGTTACTGATGTTTAAACGATCTACAATAAGTTCACTTTCACATCGTTTATTCAACTAATAAGAAAATGGCTGAACGTAGTTCTCTCATAACCTAAACAAGCTTATAATCTTAGTTGTGCAGATTCATCTAACTATATCCACTTACAACTTGATATGCAACATCGAGTCAGGATGAAAAGACCAGTAGCTAGAATTTGAATGGTCGATAAAACACACTTCTGGTTGAACTCCATATGATATATATCAGTTATTGAAGAATTGAAATATCAATCCTAATAAAAAACCACAAGTTAGTAGGTTTGCCCTTTTACATTTTCATACAACTTGGATCAACTCGTATCCACCATTTCTTCTCAACACTAAATGTTCTAAACCTAGTCTAATTTTCACTTCATTAGTGAGCTTGTTCTGGTGTATTTCTTAAACATTTAGGGATCTGAAACGATAATGTAAGGATGTAAATTTAATATTGCTTAGTTCTTTGATTTTCATTTACATGAAATAGGGTTAAGTGACATTAAACAATGAAGTACTGTGAGACAGTGCTTTTCCATGTTGGCTTGTTCATTTATCCGTAAATTACCTGTGGCCGGTTAACAATAATGACAATTAGCAATATTTATCTGATCAAATAAGGAACAAAAGTGGTCCATCCAAGTTCCAAAGAGGTTCAGAATGATAGCTAGTTGTTGTTTCCGAAAGCTGATCAAAGAACCAAATATTTTAATTCGGAAAAACATGGCTGCTTATATCATTGCAGTCCTAAACACCAATGGGAAGATTCAAACAATCAATACAAAAATGAATTAAACTTCATACCACTGCACAAGCTAGGACGAAATGCGTATCCTGGCTTCCACTATAGCAACTGTTTATCTCTGCTTATAACGCTTGTGACTGGAAGTAATCAGAATAGGATGCACATGCACTGCCTTACATGCTGTTAGTTATGTTATCGTGCTGCTGTGGAATGTGACGATTTGTGATTGGATAACTTACACCTGAATGCTGTCATGAAACACTAAAACAGAAAGTCTGTCTACGGTAACCATGACAATGCGTCAGCCTAAAATTACTTGCCCTCAAATGTCCTGGTACGGCCGAAAGTAGGGAGAGTCCACTCTCCCTCTCGAAATGCTTTCACATGGCCACGCGTATATAGCCTCTGTTAGGGAAGTCCTACGCACTGCCTTCTCGTGGCGCGAGTGTTGTTTACGAAATTGAGAAGACGAAAAGCGAAAGTCCGGAGCTTTAACCGAGTTGGTGGACATGGAGAGTCCACCTGGGGGAGTTGGAAAACGCTAGTGTACATGGGCTCCAGTATCCTGAGGGAACAAATGGCATATGAACCAATTATTGGTCACCGGCCACCGTTGGACTGCATCTCCTTACTTTGCTCCACTGCCTTGTGGATTAGACCTTCAGGTCGAAGGCTCAGACGTGATCCCTTAAGAAAACCACCTGCTTCGGTTTGGGCACCCGGGCAGTATTACAGCCCTCACACATAACAAATGAGATCTGTGTGGCGCATATGTATTTGTTACCTCCTTGTACCAATATATATATGTGTTAAAATAAAATTAAAATTTCAATAAAATAATCATGACTAACAGTCACATCATGAAAGAAGAGTGAAGTCAAAACATCCATGTAAAGTTTAAGTGATTTATTCGATAAATGATTATTCGTCTGAAAAGCGCATCTAGAAATGATGCTTACTGCCAAAGTTACCCAGTGTCTTCTGAATAATAACTACACCTTCCTGTTTAACGAATAAAAAAGGACTCGCAAGATAATCGATGAGTTAATTTTTTTGTTAATACACACTACGAAATCCAAACTTTTTTCTATAAATGAACTAAAAATTTCGAATAA